AAGAGATTATTCAGCAAAAAGAGGGGCAATTAGAGAGATTGGAAAAAGAGAAGAATTTGATTGGGGAGGAATTGGAGTTGACTGGTGGTAGGATAAAAGAATTGGAGGGGGCTTTGAGGGGGGCGGATGCTAAAATAGCAGAATTGGAAGCAAGAATTAAGGAGTTGGAAAGCAAAGGGGACAATAGCGAGCAATTGGAAAGACTTAAAAAAGAACTTGCTGCTGAAAAACAAAAAAGTCAGCAAGCAAGAACTAAATCCCAAAGTGAGATAAAAAGATTACAGAATGAACTTCAGCAAACTAAAAAAAGAGAGGAAGAATTGGCAGCCAAAATAAAAGAACTAGGTACTAAAAAAGTAAAAGTTCAGGAAGTGGTTGAGAAGAGTTTTTGGGAGACGGTTAAGACTCCTCTGTTTTATGGGGTAGGAATAGTGATAGTGGTGATTGGTTTAGGTTGAATTTGGAGTAAATTGGAGGAATAAATATGGTAGGAACAACAATTTTACTTTTGCTTTTGTTTTTATTACTGTTAGGATTTATTTGCTTGTTTACTCCCCAAAAACCAAAAAATACTCCAATTACAGAAGAAGTTAATGATTGAGAATATCAGAAGGAGCAGGCCCGAAAAGAATCTAAAGCAGAACAAAATAAAGAGTGATTTAAAGAGGGGAGATGATTAACTGATAAAGAGATCGATTGAGCGGTAGAGAAGATGAGTAAAGAACAACAAATGCCAGGTTCTTTTCCGGGACAAGAAACTCCCGGCAGATTTAAAATCCTCCCCGCCCATCAATTTCATTTAGTCCGTGAAGCCCAAAAATGAAGTAAGGAAGAGGAATTATTTACTTATTTGCTAAGTGAATTGACCGATGCAACTGCGGAATTAGTTTTTATTCCGGTTAATCAGCCTAACTTCCATTGGTCGCTTCTTGTTTATGAGGCTAAAACTAAAACTTTTTATCATTATGACACTTTACGAGGGGTTAATTGAAATTATGTAAAAGATTTAGTTTATGAACTTTTAAAAGAGTTAGAAGTTCCTAATCATCTTACTGGACAACATTTTTATGCGAGACATAAAATTAGGCAGAATAATGGCTGAGAGTGTGGAGTAGCTATTTTGGCTATTATAAGGAGAATTAAAGAAAAGTATGGAGGAGATATGAATAATACTGAACTAGGAGGGCTTGATTTCGCGAAAGAAAGAGAGAAGTTAAGAGAAAAATATTTACAAGAAATTAATCCTTAAACTCCACCAAAACCAAATCCCCTTTAATCATCTCCCTAAACTCTTCACTCATCCATCCTCAAAACACCAAATCCACCTTAAAAGGTAAATTAGATTCTTCAAAATCTTCCTTAATGCGACCATAAATATTCCAAGGCATTTCTTCCTGATAACAGAGGTCTAAATCAGAAAACTTTCTGGCTGTACCTTTCACTCGTGAACCATAGGCATAAAAACGATAAGGATATCTACTAAGTATTTGTCTAATTATTTGTTGGTGTCTATCTTCCATTTGGAGCATAATTCTTGGCTTCTTTTGCTAAATTATCTAATAACTGGTCTAAATCTTGCAGAAATTCTTTAGCAGTATTAGAAAATAAATCATTTAAGATTTCTTCTTGATAGCAATGGACAGTAATATTTCTTTTATCTAGATAGGAGAGTCATCTTTCTGGTTCAGTAATTAACCTTACCTTGGTTGCCTCCCGAAAAACATCTCGAGCACTACCAACTTCTATACTGTGAAAATTTAATATTTTTTTCAATATTTTCCAACTTAATTCGTAGCAAAATTCAAAGGCTTTAACTACTCCATTTTTTCACCTTCGCTTTGGGCATTTGCTAAAACCCAGTGGAGAGTGTTGCGGGCTTTAACTAAGGAAGTGTAGTTGATGGGGCTGTAGAGGTGTTGGGGGCTCATTAAGGGTTAGTTTTTAGTAAACTAGTTATTGTTGGGAGGGATTTCTATTTGGGCCTGGAGAGAACTTTCTCCTTTTTGTTCAGAAGTTTTTTCTTCTAATATAACTGCTTTATTCTTACCTTTATCTTTCTGTTTTTGGCCACAACATTCTAGGCAATATCAGCACTGGATAGGAGTATTCATTTTAGTTTTAAAGTCGGTTCATCAGTCTTGGAGGTCTTGCTTTATTTTCTGAGAAGAAGTCTGGGAAATAATTATTTTATCATTCTTGCCATTATTTTTTTCTTCTGCTTTTGTTAGTTGTGCCTCCAATTGATTTTCTATTTCTCCTGTCTCTTTTTCATTCCTTTTGTAATATCCAATCACTTCCCTTTTTAGATCATGTATTGCTTCCACAATTTTTTTCAATTGACTTTCTTCCCCCTTGTCTAAATCCCTGGCTAATTCTTCCTTTTTTTCCTTTAATTCATTAGCATCAATCATTTTATTTTCGTCTTTATCATATTCTACCAAAAATGCCTGAGTAACATTATCTAACCCTCTGATTGCTTCGTTCACCTCGCCTTTTTCACCAACAGCAATTGTCTCTAGTATTCCTAATAATTCATGATAATTATTTAAAAGTTCTTCTAGATCTTCACAGAATCCTTCTCATTTCTTTTCTTTATTGTCATAAAAATGCTCTTTAGTTTGAGAAACCACTACATCGACAAAAGGAAATGCAGACGACATAATTCCTCCAATCACTGGCTGACCCGCTAAGGTTAAAACACCTCCTGCTACAGTGGCTGCCCGACTACCTCATTGCGGAATAATTCAATATTGATATTTACCAAATTGCTCGGGACTTTCTAAATTACTCAGTTCGCTTTTTTTACCCCCCTTTGCCCCTCATTTATTTAGGAACTTCATTATATTACCGCGAACGACATATAACCTTTCAAGAGGAACATTTAAAGCAATACTGTTTTGTTTATTTTTTCTTCATTTGGCAAGGTCGTAATGTCCATCATCCTCTTTTCCCGCTAGGTGCCTTTCTAGTTCCTTGATAATTTTAATAGATTTATGTTGATAGTCACTATTATTGCAAACTAACCTTTTGCAACTTTCAGGCAAATATTCTAAACCTTCATTGATATTAGTATTACTAATTGCCAACCCTTCTAGTTTACTTAGATTCACAAAAACTTTCAAACTTCCTTCTAAAGGACAATCACTCATATTCAACTCCTTTAGTTCGGTGAGAGAAGTTAAGAATTTTAAACTTTGCGGAGAAAGTTCTGGATTATTTCTCAATGATAAGTGTTCTAATTTACTAAGATTTTTAAGGAAGTATAAATCACGTAAT